ATTAAAAATATTTTTTCACAGTATATATAATAATATAATTAAGTAAAAAACTATTCAATATTGGATTCATTTCGAAAGTATTAACGAGACGATTATAATGGTGTAACTTGTTAAAATAAAAATGTATTTTTTAAACATGTTTTAATTGATATACGATTATGTATGTTAATTTAATAAAAGTTTAAAACGAAACATTTAAAAGTAAAGGACGTAAAGTAAATTAATTAACTAATCATAGGGGTATAAAGTGTAAAAAAATCGGTTCAATATGAGAGGGTGAGTGTATGGGGGGTGAGTGCATGTGAGGAGAGGAGGGGGTGAAAAAATGAGGTAGTATAGATAAGAGTATCTTGGTTATTTAGTATTTTAAGACTTTAAGACTTTTGCTAAATTTGCTTTATAAAATAGTATAAATAATACTATTCATTTACACTAAATTTAGTGTTTAAAGTTAATTGGTCCCTTGACTTCGAAATTCATGTAATTTTACTTTATTTTATGTACAATAACATTTTTCATACTTGCTACATACTTCATATTACAAATTTGATTTATATTCATGTTTTAGTTTTGATTTACAACATTGTCTTGTCTCCAAAAATCTTTCATATCCTACGTACCAAATGCAAATTAAGAATTTGATGACAAAAAGACCATTGTCGAAACTTCTTATCACTAACATATATACTCTAATTGAACAACCAATACGTTCGAGGCGTGTTTTGTTAGAAAAATTTAATCAATCATTAATGGGATTGAAAATAAAAAAAAAACTGTTTGATTTTATATAAAATAATGGGTTCATTTCCATCATAGGTGAAAATGAGAGGAATGAAAATTCAATCTCGTTTCAATTACCTCTCATTTTTATTTTATTCCCATTTTCATTGCTAACCAACAACTTAGATCTTCAATTACTACATCATCAACTATGGGGTAAAACCATTAGAACTTCAAGGGTAAAAGATTGTTTGACAATTGTTAAATTGTTTAATGTAGAATAATTAAATGCTCAGAATGATTAAAAGGCTATTCTGATGTAGTGCAAAATGAAATATAATTGTTTGATAATCGTTCAACATGAGATTAGGACACTGAATGGTTATAGGAGGTCCAAGAAACAAAATCATTAAGAGGATTTTAGAAACATTAAAAGACAGACTTTTTTTTACCAAACAAGATTCACCTCTTAGTTATTCAGATGATGTCTCTTAATAAAACTATTAAGAAGTAAACAAACAACCCTTAAGTCTGTTAGGAACTCTCACTTATATTGAGTACCAGAGAATCACTTATTCACGATGAATAACATCGAATCACTTTCATTGAGAAGCTCGAACAGTTATTCATGATGAATAATATTCATTATTGTTCAGTGTTATTCATCACAAACAACTAGTTCCCCAAGTTCTTTAATGCTTTTTAAGATTGTTGTTTTCTGGTTATTTTCTTTAAAACATTTGATGAGATGCTGAAGCAGGAGTAGACAAAGTTATGAAAGCAATAACAGAAAGGTTGGATAAACACAAAGGGTGCAGAAAAATAAACAGGACCATGGTTTGGTAAAACATTAACCATTTGATTCAACAAACAAAAGCAACACTTTTGAAACCCTCTCAAGAGTTTTCAAGACTCATGAGTGCCATATCCTACCAGCAACTGTTTCCATATGGAGAAAAGAATTAAAACAGAACTTCAAAGAAAGTATTAAAAGGCAAGACACCTAGAGTGGATGAACCATTGGAATCCAGTTAAACACTCCAGATGCTTGGTTACAATCAAAGAAAGCAAGAACCCAACTTGATATCAAATTCGAAAAAAGAAAAAGAAAATGTGAATCATGCAGAGATTGAAATGAAATCGGGTATTAACACCGAAACACAAGCTTTGTGATCAATATAAGCTACCATTTGGAAGTGCTATTTTACCATTTGATCACCTCCTGAAAGCGCAAGGCGCGAAACCCCTATGTCCAAAGAAGCTGACTAATGTCCTGAATGTAGATGGTCTACGACCATTGGCGGCAGCACTTGAGCTCGAGCCAGTTGTCAAAGGGTTAGGTTGGCCATCAGCCACATGTCTAACTATTGGAGGAAACTCAACTGCATCTTCTTGAACTCCATCACTAGTACTTGCATCCACAACTTCAGCTTCAACTTCACAGACATCCAAATTGACCACCAATGATCCCCTTCTAGCCCTTAACCAATCTCCAACTTCACAAGTCACATTCTTGCACTTCTTCACCTTAATCTTTACCAAATTAGGGCAACCCCAAGCAAAAGCTTCAAGCCCTTCATCAGAAACAGGACACCCCTTTATACAAAGCTTCTTTAAAGCCACACATTTTGATGCAATGCAAGAAATCTCTCCATCAGCTATTGTTTCACTTCCACATAGAGCTAATCTTTCCAACTTCTGACAATTTGTAGCAATAGCTTCTAGACTTATTGAGTTTGGATTCACCCCAATTAAAACCAATTCTTGAAGGTTCACACTATGTTTAGCAATCGCAATCAAACCCTCGTTTCCTATCCTGTCTGTTCTCCAACCATCGATATGGAGTTTTCTCAAGTACTTACAGTGCTCAGCGACGGCAATCAGACCAGTATTTGTGCATTCAGGAGTCTTAACAATATGCAAAGTTTCCAGTTTGGAACAGCTAGATAGGGATGAAAGACCAACATCGCTCACCTGAAGCCTTTCCAGATGAACTTCAACCAAACAATTATCTGAAGTGGCAATCATCTCCAACAACCTATCCCAATCGCCTAGACAGCGCAGCAATTTCAACGTTTTCAGTTTCTTCGCACCGCTAATCAAAGGTCCGAAGAACTGTCCATTGTAAAGCTCCTTCAGACATATGGTTTTGAGCGACGAAGCCGCGGCACCGGCACCAATCGACTCTACTGTTCCGACTTCGTTGATGCCTCTTAATCGCTTGACTGAGAGTTCCTCGAGAGAAGAACAGTTATCGAGGAGGGCGTTTATGCCTTTAGCACCAAACATGCAAGATCCGCAAGAGAATTTCTTCAAACACTTGCAGTTTTTGGCTAGGCCAGCCATACCTACATCAGTTATTTCTCGGCATCCGCGGAGCTTGAGGCGCGTGAGATTAGGGCATCGCAAAGAGATAAGAATCAACCCTTCGTCATTTATGCTAACGGATCTGCGGTCGCATCGGAGAGCGAGTTTGGTGACGGAATCGAACCGTGAGAAAATGGCCGGAATAACGGGGATGAGGTCAGATTGGGCGTTTAGAGCTAGTCGGTGGCGACTCTGGCCTTCGACAAGCAGCCATCGGCGAGAGACAAGGGAACATCGCTTCCGTTCGCCTGAGTTGAGGAACTGGAAAACTATGGCTAAGCATTCATCGGGAATTTCAGATGTGTAGTCGATTGTGGTCGTTACAGCATCAGGAACCTCAAACGAGGGTTCCTTTTTGGAGTGCATAAAGGAAAAAATATCTGATCGAGCCGAAAACGAAGAAGATAGACTAATAGAGCGGTGGTGGCGCTGGGTTGACCGCGGCGGAAGCGGCGACGGCGCGTGAGTAGAAGAGGATTGGCCCATCCAGGCGTGGTGGCTGGTGGTGGGTGGTGCTCAGTTTGATGAGGTTAAATAGTGAACAGATTGCGGGTTAATGGGTTTCAAATCGACCCGAATTCTGACTCCGAACATATCCAAACAATTTTTTGTTTTAAATGGCAATCTTTTATATATTTTGTATATTGCCATATACAAAATTATATTGTAATTTGAAAATATAAATTTATTATAATATTATTATAAAAAAACTCAAAATTTATGTTTGAATAAATTGAGTTATAAGTGATGGTTGAACATGTTTTGCTAATTTAAAATTTTGATAAAACCATCTATAAAATATATCAATATTAGTGTCAAATTAATGCTTATAGAAATTTATTATTTTGATATAATTTTTTTAATTCAAAATTTTATTTTAGTTTTAAAATAAAGATGTAATTCACTTTGCTTTAAACGATGTAATTATGTTTATTCTTGTGGATAAAAATAACGATGACGTATTCTCTATTATTAGTATCGTTTATGTATTTATATGTCATTATCATTTATGAGATTTAAAATGTAAAAAAAAAAAGATTATGAATGCAGTAATTCGATATGAACTTGAAAATTAATGGATTATAATATTATATATTACTAAGCATATTTTTAGGTACAGGTTTAAAAATAAAGTGTATATACATACTAGAAAGGTATTCGCGTAATGCAACGAGATACATCTTGATTTTAATGTTGTTGTTTTTTTTATTTCAGTCGATGTTATAATACGGTTTTATATGGTTTTAAAAAACTGATAATGTTTTTACTTTTGAATAAAATATAAATATGAAGATATCATAAACTTTTGGAAAAAATATATATTAATATTAGTATCAAATTAGCTATTTAAAATTTATAATTTTTTGTGTAATTTCTTTAATTTATTTTTTATTATAGTT